GGGCAGATGTTGTGTGCAGACCCCATTATTCATGCTTTCTCCTCTGCGGATGGATCTGTGTGGGCTTCTAAGTCCATTCAACATTTGGGTCACTTTCAAGGCTGCCTGGTTTCTGCTTTCTAACAAGCTTTTTGCTTCTTTGCGTGTATGCGCATGGCTTGACAACCATGGGTATGTGGGTGGCTTGAACCAGCTTCAGTTTTGACTGCATGCCCGGGGTAAACCTGGAGTTTATGTGGAGTGCTTATCACATTCAGATGGCTCTCTGACCTCTCAGAGCTTACAGTTAAACAGCTTGCTACTCTTATCTTGTTTCCTCCAAATAGCACTGCAACCTCAGGCTAGAGACTCTGTCTGCTTAGCATAGAGGCCACCTCTTTTGACTTACTCTGCCTCAGGTCAGGCAAGTCCCTTCTCTAAGTGACAAGTTTCTGGCATGGGCAGTGAGAGCACAGCACAGACTCACACAACTCTAATCAAACTTCAGTACTTTTCATGAATAAACACTTCTAGTTTGTTGTAGGTCTTCAGAGTCTTTAAAATAATAATATCCAGATTTATAGCCGCGGAGCGGCGAGCAGAGCGGAGTCCCTGCTGCACTGAGATCTGAGAGGCTTGGGCCTCGCACATGCGCTTTGGGCACCTTTAGTCACTGCCCTTTGTGCTTGGCGTCATGGTTACCGTTGCTAGGTGCTCCAAGAATCCAAACTGTTGCACGGTGGGTTTGGCTTATCTCTAGCGCTGGTGCTGGTGTCTAGAAGTGGCAAAAAGCCGAGCGGAAGGTCAAGTGTTGGTGAAGCCTCTCGGCTTTGCAATGAAGAAGTTTTTTGGTTTCGGGACTGGGAAGGGGCGTTCATCCCCAGTCTTTCGCATGGAGCTGATGAATGGCTTGGGGGCCCCAGTGGACAAGAAGGAAGAAGTCAATGAGTCCCCGCGGAGGTATAACATCCACGTGAAAGATTTCAAAGAGATCCACAGAGCTGCTGTCATGGGCAACATATTGAAAATGCAGCGGTTGCTACTTCTTGGGAAAGACGTGAATAAAAGAGACAAGAAGAAACGGTAATAGGGATGTAAGGGGCTGCTTAGCCAGAGGGAGTCATTTTGTGTTTATGTAGTGAACTTAGATTGACCCCGCCCCTCCCAGAGGATCTTACTTTCAAAGCCTAGATACAAGGGCGGGTCAGGCCTGGTGAAGACATCCAATCAGTGGGGTGCTCATATATCTACTAGGGTGAATTGAAATTCAATTGGCCACCCATATATCTACTAGGGTAAATTGAAATTCAATTGGCCACACAGAGAAAACCCATAGCAGTTTTCTGTGTGTGTTGCAGACCTAGCATGACTGTGCAGTTTTCTCTGTGTATTGCAATCTCATTGGCCACCTGTGTATAGCCTGGCTAAACTACCTCTAGAAAAGTCTGAGAGGCTGGGAGGGGTCACCTCTTTGCAAGAGACGGCCCTGACCAGTCAGTTTGATTCTCGATGTTGGCGCGAAATAAAGCTCTGCTTGACCTTCACTTTGTATCAGTCTCATTCCTTTGATTACGGACCCTAACAGGGACTTGGAAGCTGGCAGCCCCAAACGGCGGAGAGTAGGTGGGAGGACCGGGAGAAATGCCCTCCTTCCCAGGCTCCGCCTGTGGAGCCGAGCCCTTCTGTCACCGAGGGCGCTTGGCGGTCTTCCCTCCTGAGGCCGGGCAGCAAGGGGTCTAGCGCCCAGGCCGGCTGTCTGAGCAACAAAACAAAATCCTCAGCTGCCTTTGGACCCACTCATAAGTCCCCATATAGGTCACTTAACAGACAGCTTTGTTGTGATTGAACCACATTTCAATAGTGATAGAAAAGAAATGAAGTATATACAGTATTTTACTTTATTTTTTAAGATTTTATTATTTGACAGAGAGAGAGAGAGACACAGAGAGAGGGAATACAGCAGAGGGATTGGGAGAGGGGGAAGCAACCCCCTACCCCCAGCAGAAAGCCGGATGTGGGGCTTGATCTTAGGACCCTGAGATCACGACCTGAACCCAAGGCAGATGCTGAATGACTGAGTCACCCAGGCGCCCCCAGTGTTTTATTTTTAATGGACATCTTTTTATACGATAATGTTATAAAAAAAAGATCTATTCCCATAATAGATCAACTTCTGGGCTACAAATTCTTTCGATAAAATCCAATATATAATTTATATCTGTGTCCACTTTGTATGTATGTTATTTACTGACTGGCTGTCAAGAAATTTTGAATTGGGAAGATGGTTCTGTTTGTGATTAGGAAGATGTATTTCTCAAAATGTGTAGTCTTCCTGTATTTATCGACATTCCATAAAGCAAATAAAATCATCATGGTTTTAAGAATTTTGTGTTACACCTGCTCTCTTTTATCATTGTGATGACATTAAGAAAAATTTTGGAATCACTATAGTGTCAACCTGAAAGTAATAGAACACTGCATGTTAACTGGAATCAAAATAAAAACTTAAATTTTTATAAGTAGACAGATTTACCCTTCCAGATATCAAAATGTATCTTAAATTTCCACAAATTACACGGTTACTAATAGCTGAAAGGACAGATGAATGAATGCGGCAGAGTAGAAAATGCCGAACATCCAAATATGGTGACGTTTCATATTAGTAGGAAAAGGTGAATCATTCATAAGTGGTGAAGAAATATCTGCTATTTATTTATTTATAATGGTATTAAATACTTATATTGATAATTGGTAATTCTTGATTTTCATATCTATAAATCTAAATATCTAATAAAATGAAAATAACTTCATTATTTAATATGTATATGAAAATATATATAAATAGATGATATATTTATGTATAAGATATATAAAATATATATTATTTAATATATAAAATATATAATACATAATGTATAAAAATAAAAGTGTTCCTGTTTATTTGAATCCTGAGCTTCCTTTGGCTTAAAGTTTCTTGAAAGTCAGAGTGAAGAATTACTTAAAAAGAATTCTTCATTATTTTAGTCCTCTTTTCCCATAATGCTTTCAAGAACTAAAATTTATTTAAATGCCAACCATGTGACTAGAACTGCAGTAGAGCTGTTGTATGTATATACCATTATTTCATTTAACGTAAGGCACATTGATTGTGTGTTGCCCCACCATTTTATATACCAATAAGAAATCTTTAAAAATTCTGCCAATTATAGTTGTAAGACATTTTGAATTATAAATCGCATTCCAGTGTCAGAGATACTAAAAGGTGACAAAATGAGCCTCCTAGAATCATTGATATATAGTATTCTTGTGAATATTTAAAACATATCTGAGAAATAGGCATAATTGGATCACTTTACCTAATGGGAGTATTGTCTTTGTACAATAGTAGCAATAGTAATAGTTATAGTAATAATATGTAACAAACTTTGCATAGATCCTCATTTAAGCATGGTGACGAGGTCTTGTGAGATAACTCTTCTTTATTTTTATTAGTTTTTAGTAATCTCTATAGCCAACAGGAGGCTTGAATTCATGACCCTTGAGATCAAGAGTCACATGACCTTCAAACTGAGCAAGGCAGGGAACATGAGATAACTATTTTTATCTCCATTTTTTTGATGAGGAAATTGAGGATAAGGCTGAGCGATAACTATTAAGTTTAAATCCTATTAAGTAGGATTTATACCCAGGTTGAGCTGAATCCTGAGGTCACGCTCTACCTAGTCAGATAGCCTGATCTTTTATTAGTATGGTGAATAATCACTAATAAATATTGTACTTTCTTCAAAAGAAAACTAAATCTTTGTTTTTGAGTCAAAGGAATAAGATGCTATTTAATGTTTACAATTACATGAATTAATTGAAATTGAAATAGTGCACTATAATTTCCTAAAACGTTCTTTCACTTTCATAGGACTCCTCTCCATCTGGCCTGTACCATTGGCCATGCCGACATGGTGGATTTTCTTGTAGAGAGGAAATGCGAGCTTGACCTCTATGATCAAGACTGTAGGACTCCTCTAATGAAGGTGTGTGGTAGCAGCTGTGTCTGCCTGAGATGGATTTGATTTAATTACTTAGAATGAAAATTTATTGCAATTAAATGTAACTAATTGGTTGTAGCATGCTTGCTTTAAATTCCCAGAATTTACACTCTGTTTCTTGGGATACTACTGACAGGCTGTACAATACCAGGAAGAGGCATGTGTAACTATTCTTTTAGAACACGGTGCTAATCCACGTCTTACGGATAACTTTGGCAATACTGCCCTCCACTATGCTGTTGCTGGTGAGAACACGTCAATAGCAGAGAAGCTGATTTTATACCATGCAAATATTGAAGCAAGAAACAAGGTATGTCAACATTATAAAGTATTTGAAATTTTAAAACATATATATAACTTTTTTTAGCCACAAAACATTTATTTACATTGTATTCATGTATGTAATAAATAATAAATACTGAATTCTATACATCAAGTCCTGTACTAGGGAAACAACATCAAAGCCAGGGCAGGGAGGACTAGAGAACGATGAAGCCCACAGAAAGGGCAGAGTTCTGTTTCCCAGCCACCCTTCCACCCCAGAAGGAGAATCTTCCCATTAGTGCTTGGGAGTGGATGGTGGGCTCAGAGCCCACAAAGGATTGAAGGCCTAGAGGGGAGTGAGGTGGTAATGGAGGCTGGGTGCTGTGCAGGGGCTTAGGCTATGGGTGCTGCTGGGAATGGGTGGGAGACCATGACCCAGTGGGGTAACTTGGGTGAGTGCAAGTGGGAGGAGAAAGCAGCAGGTTGCAGTCCCTGAGCACTCCAGGCCCCAAGGTTCTGAAGATGAGAACAAGGGGATCAGGTCATGACATCCTACAGGGGCATCTACTTGTGCTCATAGCCACTCTGCCTGCCATGTACCGCATTGAGGTCTCCCATTTCACAGAGTAGTTCCTGCTCAGCATTGTGTGGGTCCTCAGGGGGGTAGTCGCTGTGCATGGGGAGGAGTGGAGGACTGCGCTCACTATTCCACTTGTTATTTCTTTGACACGACTTACCTCCTACCACTGCCCTTAAGGAAGCACTGTTGGTGGACATAGATAGGGTCAAATTTTCATACGTAGAAGCTTGAGCATTCCCTGAATGAAAATATTTTGAAATAACTTAATTGTCTAAGATTTCATTTTATTTTTATTTTTTAATTTTTTTCTCTTGAGTGCACTTTTTGGAAATATGTATTTGTAGGGACTGTAAAGAAAGAAAGCAGGAAGAAAGCACATATAGAGACTTATAAGAAGAGAAGCATGTTCTTCACATAGCAAGAATTTTTATGCCTTGACTTCTAACCCAAGTAGTAATTCTGAGTAATTTTACATGGAATATGCGTTATTCTGCTCTAAGACCATGATCTAGTTATAGGGATAGAGAAGTGATCTATGTCTCTATGATTCAGTTGATATTAATACTAGTCTTTGATACATTTTCATTCTTAAATGCAGCAATTATCTACAAGTGATTATAGTTATTAAGTTTTCGTTGACCCAAGTGCTGGTTTTCTTCAAGTTTTGAAAGAGGCCGGCTTTGGCTAACAGTGCTGTAAACTGTCAAGTCAGTTATTTGAAGTTTTAAGATTTCACTTTAATGAACTTTTTTTAAAGAAAGATTTTATGTATTTGAGAGAGAGCGTGAGAGAGAACACACATGAGTAGGGAGGAAGGGCAGAGGGAGAGGGAAAAGTAGGGGAGCCTGATGCAGGGCTGGATCCCAGGACCCCGAGAACATGACCTGAGCCAAAGGCAGACACTTAACTGACTGATCCACCCAGATGCCCCAGAGCTGCTCTTTTATTTGAGTCCATCTCCTTAGTGACCCATTTGGAGCAAGAGTGCTTTATGTTGACATCTGGGATCCTGATACCATTGACAGAAGAGAATCAAGCATGTTGGTGTAACCTGGAGAAAACCTTCACCTTTATTGGAAAGCTCTCGACACTGTATCCCTGAAACTCTAATTTCTCAAATGTTAATGTTTGCCATGAAAGTATTGTGAAATGGGGATAAGCAAATTTAAACCAATTTCTTTTGTGCTAGAGATATAGTGCAGTTCTGTAATATTTCTCAAACATAGAGGATCATTGAATCTTTCTATTGAGGCACAATCCTCACCTTCCAGCAAAGTATATGTTCTTTGGAATATAATTTAAGAAACACTACTCCAGAGATAATCATTTAGGCTGTT